TTGAAACAACATAAATCCAATCCGACTCGAACAAAAAAACATTTCGTTTTTGTAACGACTTCATGATTTCAATAATCAATAACAAATCTACTGTAATTGGAAAAAATACTTTATTTATCTCTTCGATTCTTCTACCTTTTTAGGTTACGGTGATGATTAGAGAAAAAGATTGTATTAGTGTATAATAATTAGATTTTAAAACTTATTAAAAATGACAAACAAATCCCTATATTTTCAAAATATTTATTCAATATGCTTCCAAAATCAAAAGTCGCGTTTTCAATTTTGGAAACACGTTTCTGGCCGCGTTTCCAATTTTTGGAAACACGTTGCCAAATTGGAATATTTAATAAACGTGTTTCCATCGCGTTTTCTCGCGTTTCCATCGCGTTTCCGTTTCCAAAACGTTTCCGAAACAGGAAACAGACCTTGGGTGGAATTTTCATACAACCTAACTAACAATAATCCTTAACCATATGCCCTAAATATATTTTTATATATGTTGGTGATGATAATAGAATTTTATCACGTCGCCGTAATTAATGCCTGATTATTGATTACGAATTTTGATTCCCATCGATCCGTTTTGTTACAAAATTCTCTTTCGATTTAGTGATGTGAGAGGGTAATAAATTAAAGAATGGAATAATGAATGATAAATACAAAATTTGATCGCTGGTCCAATCCATGAGCTTCAGTATGGTTATACTTATGCGATTGAAATTGGTGAATTTGAATAGTACGTCTGATATACGGTACTGTAGTCGTGTTCGATGTCTTACTATGTTGATCATGTTCTTTTTTTCGGTGATTGCATCGTCTAAACCGACGACATGCAAATATGTATAAAAAACAAAAAAAAAAGATTTTGTATATAGAAAATACGGTTAGAAACAAAAATAAATGTGTCGAAACAATATGAAGCAATTTCAGATTTAGTGGAATTCAAATACCATTAAAAAGTCCGGTAGATATACATAAGAGCTCGTTTGTTGTTTTTATGACTCCGTTTATCCTTGTTTGTTTTTTTCCAGAAGATTAATAATGATAAATGCTACAATTGCAAACTATATTTTCTCCACTATACATATATTAAGATTGTTTTCTCGTTTATTTTTGTTTTTGCCAACTATCTCCACTTAAAAATAATCCCATTGGTTTAATTACTAAACCTAATAGAATCATTTAATATCTCCCAAGTTAATTCAATCATTGGCCATATAAATCCACGTGGCACATCATGCTGACAAATACTCAACCACGTGGAGGAGATGATGAGTCAAGAGTAGCTCCAATTTTGGCCCACTTTTAAACTTCTACGCCGACTACCTAACCGCATCAAATCAATTTGCAACTTTCTTAGTTTTAGAATTAGTGAAATTATTGCGATTCTCTTTTTATAGTTTCACTTTTGTTTTCTTGCCCTTTTTGGTAATGTCAAGTTTTATAGTATTAGTTTTTGAACCTTTGCATCATTGCATGACTAATATTATTTTTATCTCCAAAGGGAATAACTTTCTTTTTCTTAAGGTTTTCTTTTTCTTAAGGGTTTTCAAAGGGAATAGTTGGAGGTTTACATCCTTTTCCAATTAATTATACTTTAAGTGGATGCTAATATAAAGTGTCACTTCCATGTAATATTGTAATGCACTAAATTAATGGAAGACTTTTGTTGGCAAAACTACAAAAATTTGCACCCATTTCCTCAATTGCAATGTTAACTTTGTTTCTCATATGAAGAGTATATGTTAATAAAATAGGCGTATATATAAAATATAATATCAGATATGTATTATTTACGTACCTAGGTTCTCTAGTCTTCTAGAAACTCGGAGAATTCCTAAAATTTCGTGATACATTTTATATTTTTGGAAGTACAAGTATATATGTATGCATGGATGTAATCCACTCACTTAAATTTAATTAGAGAAGATGAAAAAGTATTCATGACATAGACATGTGCATGAATCTGTATTCCCATTAGGTAAATATTCAAAGGTTTTTAGATTTTCATTTCATCTTTGTTCATTTCTAAATATCTACATAATTTGAACAATATCGTAATTTAAAATTTTGGTGGACACGCACCTGCATGCGATTTGTTGCTGTTCTATTCTGTATCGACGTTTATAACTATAAGGGAAATTGGCTTTAACAAAAAAAAAAAACTATAACGACTAGGATGAATTATTAGGGTTCGATATGTCTATATATTGTTCTCTCTGTCGTGTCCGCTTTTTCTTGTGCATAATTTCTTAAAATTATTAGTAGATTGCGTAAAGTTCATATCG